TAGCGCAATCAGTCACTTCATCTTTATATCTATGAATGAAAGCGAAAGGTCACTCATCACGAAATCTCAGAAACTACAAGTGCCAGAAGTCCTTAATTTTGCACGGGGGTTCCTTTTAGAACGTAGGTGCTCACTAGGACGGGATTTTGCAAAATTCAACCCCTAAGGGGGTAAAACGAGATCGTCGCTTACGAAGTCGCGGGCGGCCGCTAGTAGTTTAATAAACACGAATCCATTCAACCATCTTAAAAGTTTATTCGGGTTGATAAGCAGTTAAGTTGGTGTCACATTACTCCTTTTTATTAAACTGAGATAAATATTCAATTGAAATCTTATTGATTAAACAGTAACCTGGCGAAGATAATTGCGTAAGTCAATTACTAATGTAATGTTCTATTTAAATTTAATCAAGCCGAAATCAACGCCACCACGAAGGGAGGAGACCTCATATTATTACGTTGTAGAGCCTACACACAATCTGTATTTATGACTTGTGAAAATATAAAGTTTGCATGTGACATGCATGTTTTGGAGGACACCGAAGTACCTCTTAACTTAAAAATGTATCATCCTTATAGAGGAAATATTGGCCGCCCGCGACTTCGTACGCGTGGATCCCATTTTACCCCCTTAGGGGTGGAGTTTCGTAAAATCCTTTCTTAGCGCATGCCTACGTCATAACATCTACCTACATGCCAAATTTCAGCCCGATCCGTCCAGTGGTTTGGGCTGTGCGTTGATAGATCACTATGTCAGTCAGTCACCTTTGAGTTATACCATATACATACAGGGTGGAAACGTTAAGTGATCTCACTCGATCATTTCTAAACTATACAAGATATCGAAACACTCATTACTGATTCTGAAAGTGCTTCATAAGCTCTTTCAAACGGTACCAATCATAAGTTACATAATAAACTGGATCTATCCGAAAATTCAATGTTTCCAGCTTCCATACATTTATTAAAACCACATAATATTAAAAACTATACAAGATATTCAAAAACTGGTTTTTATTAATTTACTGACACAACTAATTATTATATTAACAGTAAGGTATTCTTTTGATCCACCATGCATACACTTATGTACTCTATTTTTCTCATACTCGTAAAATAAATTCGAAAGTACTCGTAGAACATAGCATCTGTGGTCACATCACTACATGTTTGCCCAACTAAATTATCCCGCAAGACTTTGTGTACTCATTTTGTTAATTGAGCAAATTGAGCTTATTCCCAGTGTGGAGGGAAATTGAGATTATTAATGAGTGCGTTGGTTCACAACTCAATTAGAAGTTAAGTCTGCAATACTATGATCATATTTTTTTTGTACCATCGTAAAAAAATTTGGTTCCCAGTTACAATTATTATTTGTGTAACGCCCGTATTCACAAACATTACTATGAGGTCTCACAGTGCGTGTGAACGTACAGGGTGACACACGAACCAATCACAAAGCTCTATTCAACTCTTTGCGTTCGATTTACTGCTTCACTTTAGCAAGCATCGTTTGTGAATACGGGTGTAAGTCTCATACTAAAATAGATACGATGTTCAAGCGATGAGTTGATATTATCACTGGGTGAGATTAAGAAGTTCGTTAAGACAGTCATATAGAATGTGACCCCAGGTGGTCTTATCTCGTAAAATATACCTACCTACATTAAATAGTTTGATCTATACAGGGTGTTGGTAAATGGGTATATCAGCCGACACTAGCCCATGTTAACATGGTCATATAAATGGTATGGTGAAGTCAGAAAGTTGATATCTTCATTTTAATTATTTTAAGTTTCATACAAATCGGATTTTATAAAATTTATGTTGTAGAGTGCAAGTATGAAAATTAAAAAAATTTAAATGATGATATCAAATTTCTGACTTCACCATACCATTAATATGACCATGTTAACATGGGCTAGTGTCGGCTCATATACCCATTTACCTAACACCCTGTATAAAAAATAGTTATGAAACTCCCTTATTTTTGTAGTTCTTTTCTAATTTTTGTAGGAAAACTTGCTCTTTATCTAACCTACAGGTTATGTGAACGTCTAGCTCGTCAATGAAGTTAAATCTTTCGATTTATAGCTAAAACTGTAGCCCTTCGAAGGATTACCTTCAAAAGATAAGGAGAACCCTTTCAACAAGTTTTTAAAGACTTGAATCAAACGATAGTACGAAGGCCTTGAAAATACGAATAATAACTTTTGAATTCACATTCTACACTGTAAAGTATTGCGAATTGTTTTTAACTCTTTCTTTTACTCTTGTACAAATAGAGATAAGTATATATGGATTTATTTATTTCGTGACTGAGTTTCTCCCGCCACTTTTTCTCAGTATCAGCCGATATGTTTTCCCGAAGTGGTGGTAGGGTAAGCTATATTGGGATATAAGTGCTCTGAAAGGGGTCTACATGGTACCAATAAACAATTTGAATTTGAATTTATCATTTTGTCAAGTGTGTAACTACATTTTGCAAATATCTATCGACCTTCTTACGTCACTATAAAGTATTGTACGAGTAAATGCTTGTACTAAAATTTCTCACGCGAAAATTAAAAACTATTTTGTTCCTAGCTTTATTTCACACCTTCCAAAATGTACAAAATAATTACTTTAAAGTATACTTGATAATTTACGACCTTCATATTTTCAGTTTCCCACTCAATCACAATCTAGCGGCCCCCAGAGCTAGTGCTGGGAAAGTCACGTATTGTGCAATAATTAAAACTTTTCATTCCTTTTTCCCAACTACCCGCCATTCGGTTCGGATTTTTTCTTATTTATGAACGCTTGGGTTTTTGAAATCGGGGACTCGTTTTAAGCAGTAATTAATGGCTTTGTTAATGTAGCTATTAACAATAATTGGGCAGTTAACCCCATAAAATTGGGTACTTGACACCATTATGCAATAATTCCTTGACACAACTTCCTAAAAATAACTTTTTCCCCGAAAATAGATAGTTGAAGTTGCCGTAAGATGCAAAGCGAGAGCTTCCTCGTTATGGATGAAAAATTGTGAAAAAATTCAATTGACTATTCATATCATAGTTTAAAATATTTTTATAAGCTTTTAAACTATAGGACTCATATGGAACTTTGCATAATAGGAACTTTTAAATCCCCAAAAAAAATCTATCTGGGTGTAATCAATATGAAAAATATTTTGTGGAGTCGCGTTTTGGAGTCAATGAAACTACATAATGGACAAGTTTCCAATTTTTTTCTTTTAATAAAACTTGAAAATACCAGTAAATCTAATAATAAGTATTGTGAAAGAATCATGAAAATATCTCTACAAATACAAAAGTTACAGGGCCCTAAAGTTGCGCATAACGAAATTCGCGCTATTTTGATTCGAAGTAGTCACGACAGTAATTTGAAGTACAAACAGTAAATCACCCCAGCCCCCCTAGACAAAACGCACTTTTTGATCGAATCGAAAATCGAATCCGTCAAAACTCCATACAAAAAAGGGGCTTTTCGACCACTTTGCGACTGGTTTGCGATTATAATTTGCACTTTGTCTAGACCCACTGTGCTGTTGACAGATCCATTTTTTTTTAATCTAGTAGTTTTGAATTTTTCAGCCAGGGTCACTCAAGATTCTTTCTTAGTAAAATTGTGTAACCTTTTTTGACATATCCAAGACCTGACCATATTTAAAAAGAAAAAGAAGACTTTGATATTATAGTGTCATTCTCGACAATTCGTTAGGGGTGGTAAGCATTGTGATTGAAACTTGAACAGGTGGCCTGACATCACATGACGCGAAAATATGGAGGTAATTTAAATAATTAATCTCTCAGTCATTTCTTGATGGATTTCAAAAATAACTTCACCGGCTTTTTAGTTTTGGTCTATATTTTCATCGCATTTAGTGAAATCTAATGTTTTCAACATCACGAAACTTGTCCATTATGTAGGTATTCATAAATGTCATTTTGTAATATAATAACGTTATTTCAGACTCTCGGCAACTCTATAAGAATAAAACACATTTAATTGTTTTACACGTGTAAAATCAAGTCTTTATTCTGCAACATTTATAATTATAATTTTGTTTACTTAACAAAATACTTTCGTTTATGCCTTTAATTACTTTACTGTTTTATGTAATTTCGCGTTAAATATGAAGGAAAGTTATGAATACAAAAATAAACTTTACACGCTACATTGTAATAAAATTGTACGTTTATAAGCTATTGGATTTGTATGGTCTAGTAATAAGAATAAGAATAAATTTATTACTTAATAAAACTTAGCCTAGATACATTTGAATTCACTTACTTAAATTAAGGTTAGTGTGCGAAGGTAAAAATTGAAGGTAATGACAGAGTTACATATTGACTTGGAAGGAGAGTGCCAAGAATTAAATTCCAGCACACACACAAAAATTAACATTATCCGCTATAGGTAAAAAATGCAGGCAAATACTGTAGGAATCAACTCCTGAAAATCGCCTTGTGTAAATAAAATTAGAGAACGCATAAAAAGTCACCCCGAGTTTGAAAAACTCTGATCATCCCTTTCACTGCTACAATAGCGTCTTTACCCAACAATAACCAGTTTAAACCGGTTCAAACGAGTTCAGAGTCATGTCTCAAGTTTTGATTAAAGGTTGGAGAAAAGCTTTGTTTAGATAACAATGAGTTAAATCAGCCCGATTGATTACGAAGCTTATGAATAATTGTTAGTATGGATTAGCTTTATATTGCTGTATTCAGTCAGTTATGAAGCGATATCCCTGTGATTCTAGAGGGTTCTGTGTTCACACAATGAGATGATTAACCGCTTAGATATTCCGTTTATCAAATCTATTATTTATGAGCCAATAGTTTTATAAACAAAAGCTATTTGATTCTGTTTTGTTTTGTTGATTTGTCAAGGATGAAGAAGTGTTAAACATTTTGGTTTTCCCTAACCTTTCTAGTTCCATAAAGCTTTATCTGACGTCATACTCCATACAAAACACACCGGTTATCGTTAAAGTTTATCAGTTAACGCTGATAAAACTGTCATTATTCCATTTACCAGGCGTAGACAGTTGAACAAACTAGTCAAACCCTCTCTAAATGGAAAAGAGATCGAGTTTTCCACAGAAGTCAAATATCTGGGCGTCACTATCGACCAGAAACTAACATGGAATACTCACCTTAATAACATCATACAAAAGGCAAAAATTGCCTTAGGCTCCTGTAGCCGCATGATGGGCAACAATTGGGGCTTGAATCCCCGATCTGTCTTATGGCTGTATACCACTATCGTGAGGCCGACTATATCGTACGCCTCTGTAGTGTGGTATCACAAAACCAGCCAAAAGACAGTAACAGATAAACTAGGTAGTCTGCAAAGGCTTGCCTGTCTCATGGCAACTGGGGCAATGTCAACCGCACCTGGGGCGGCCCTGAACGCACTACTGTGCCTAACGCCCCTAAGTATGCACATTGCTAAGGAGGCGGAGGCAAGTGCCTACAGGATAGACGCTCAGGGGGGCTTCCATTGCATATCCCAGAGAATGAGAACATTACTGGAGGCTATAAAGAGCACACCTACTCTTTGCATGACTTCTGACATCATGGTTCCAAGTTGTAGCTTCCAAAAGAACTACAAAGTGGAAATACCACACAGGGAGGACTGGCTGAACAAGCAAGTCACCTGTGAGAAGGGCAGCCTTATATGGTTTACTGATGGGTCAAAAATGGGCCCTAACGTAGGCTTTGGCGTGTATGGAGAGCAGCCGAAGCTTAGGCTATCTCAAAGCCTGGGCAAATTTGCCTCTATCTTTCAGGCAGAAGTCTACGCCATTATTGAATGTGCGGAAGCTAACCTGCGAAAAAATTATGCCAACCACATAATTTACATTAACTCAGACAGTCAGGCCGCGCTGCTGGCCTTAAACTCCAACTTAATCACCTCAAAGTTGGTAGAAAACTGCATGAGTCGACTAAATACTCTAGGAGAACGAAACAGAGTAACGCTGAGATGGGTTCCAGGTCATGCGGGAATCGAGGGCAATGAAAATGCCGACGAACTAGCCAGAGCGGGAGCGGAGGGAACACAATATGGTCCAGAACCCTTTTGTGGTGTTCCCAAAAGTCTCGCTCGAATGACCCTGGAGAACATCTATTTAAACAAATCCTTTATGGCATGGTCAGACACGCCAGGATTAACTCATTCCAAAGCTCTCATAAAAGCCTATGATCGAAAAAGCTCTAAGCAGATCATAGGACTGAGTAGGACCAAAATGCGCATCTTAGTTCGAGCCCTCACTGGACACTGCAGCTTAAACAAGCACTTGTCCACTATGGGACTGTCCGAAACAAGAACGTGCAGGATGTGCCAAGAGGCAGATGAAACGCCACTACACATTCTCACGGACTGCGGACCTCTGATGCGCAAGCGGAGCTTACACCTGGGCAAACACATCCTAAGCCCACAAGATGTAAAACATATCGCCCCCCAAAAGATACTGCACTTCCTAATGGATGCAGGACTCGGAGGCGAACTGTAAGGAAAACAGCGGCGATCACAATAGATCGATAACGGTCGCAGTGATACTAGGACTTTATTGAACTAGAATAGCCGCTCAACACAAATAAAAAAAAAAAAAAAAAAGTTTCTATTAAAATTTAATGGTGCAACTCAGCCTAAATGTAGAGTTCATCATCATCATCATCATTTCAGCCATAGGACGTCCACTGCTGAACATAGGCCTCCCCCAATGCTTTCCATGTTGATCGATTGGTAGCGGCCTGCGTCTAGCGCTTCCCTGCTACCTTTACGAAGTCGTCGTACGATGTAGAGTTCAACAACCAATAAAATAATCTTCAGTAGTGAAAATCGGTGTGTATTTATACCTAAATACATCGGAAAATACGATACCGCGTGAGCACAACTATAACAAAATTGAAACTTTCAAATCTATTTACGAGGCTCGTCGCTATTCTATCATGAACATGTAATACTCCTGCATAATTTGATTAGAAGTTAGCGCTAATTCCTGTGTTTGTTGTTCAGATTTGCTCATCGTTATTTGAAAGAAAATATCAACTTGAAAAATAGGATATTAGGCTGGGTGGCACCATCTTACTTTAACTTTAATAAACCTCAAAAATCTGTCAAACTCCATACAAAAAACACCGATTATATTATCGTTATAGTTACGGTCAAAGTTGGGTGGTGCAACTCGGCCTTACTTTTCCTGACCAAATTAGTGCTATTTAACAAAATGGTGGTAATGAATTGCTGGTGACTTTATATGCTGTCAATCATCTCTATCCTTTAGGTAGGATACACTTTACTGTAATAGATAAATTCCTGAAAAACTTCTTAAAGACTACCTACAAGAGATGAAACGGAGAAAGCGAGATAAATTCATTAGAAAGATTTTACCATCATCTCTACATGAAACGTTTCCATCTTTTTTGCTATTCATTGCAAGAGAATCTAAGAAATCGTTTACAGAAATGTTACTGGCACACGTTATCTTATCAAAGGTATATTTGACCAGTAGCAAATGAGAGACGATTAGTAAGACCTATTACCTCCAAAATCTCGCAGCGTTTTTGCAAGATCGTAAAAGAATGGACCCTTATGGTCGGTATTACCTTGAATGCTTTCCATTAGGCCTAAATGCTTACGGTTTCATCCCTCCATCCCCTGCGGAATAATGCTCCGTGTCAGTGCTATGAGAATAAGATACTTACATGCCATAAGATATGTAAGACTAAAAACAATACAATGTAACATTAATGGCAATAATATCTTATCTTCTTTATGAAATTAGACTGTGAAGCATTTTGTCCAGCTCATAATTTACATGTTTTGTTTTTCGCCGCATAATTTCATTCACTACAAATATGGACGATAGCACATCAAGCTATAGCATCTTATGCAGTTTTAATAAAGGTAAAATTTAAATAACTTGGACGAGTAGACCGTACACTACGCGCTGGCACCAACATTTTGATATTTTGAACTCCTTTACCTACCAAGCGTCATAATCATGATTAGGTATAGTTTTATAGCCATAGAACAATAATTCTTATCGTGTGAAATATTTTTGAGGACATTTACAACTTACGTTTTATTTTCAGAACAATGTGTGCAATAGAATAATGTGGTAGAATTTGTTATTGCTGTATAAAAATGAGATTTCTACCAATACCATACAGATAAAATAATATGATCCACATATTCTTCATTTCGATCTTCCTCATAACATCTGCTGGATACCAAAGAGAATCTGGTCCAATCATCGGCCATTTTTTTCCTCAATACGTAAAAACAGTCCGAGAATGCCAAGAAGGCTATGGAAACGTGTGTTTAGAGTTACCTACTAGAAAAATTTGCGTAGAGAACATGGGGAAGCCTCTGCAGCCATGGATGCCTTTGCCATGGTGGTTCTTCTTCTGCCAATGGCTGGTGAGCTTCAGACCTTCGCCTAAACCAAAAAGTAGCACAGTGCACCCTTACTACAGAAAAACTTTGGATGAGTTCTTGGAATATAGGAAGAAGAACAAGATTTGAGTTAATGGCAAAACCTGCCTTTTTCGTCTCTAATAATACGTAGTTGATACTTATTTGCGTAGTGAAGAAACTACTTTGTGATAAATGGTGCGTTGTTTTTTTATTATAATAATGTAAAACAGAGTACGAAGTGTGAGCTAAAAATATATTATATTGATTGACCGTATTGAGAAATGTTTGCATATGTTTTTTTAAATAGCAGTCTGTTCGTATAAAATTAAGGCTGAGTTGTACCACCTAACTTAGACCGTAAATATAACGATAACCGGTGTTTTTTGTATGGAGTTTGACTGAATTTTGACGTTTGTCAAAGTTAAAGTAAGATGTCGCAACCCAGCCTAAGAGTGCGTAATTATATCTTAGGTAGTAAGAAATTAATATTCTATGTGAATAAATATACAATTTATTTCATCTTTGTCATGTTATTATTCAGGTAGAGATCCATTTAAAGGTGTGAGGAAAGCACTGTACTCTTCATCTAGTGTAGGTTCTTAATTATTGTCCTAAACACACCATCCTTCAGGTTTCTTGATTATGATGAATATGACATAGTGTGCAGATGTTATTCAGTGATTAATACGGGTTTAAGGGACCTAAGGGATGCCAGATCATAAATACATAAGTATGTTTTGTACACGGATTACGAGAGTACACTGTCATCTGTGCGTTTATCATTCTCAGTGTACAGGACGTGGGAAGGGCTTATTCATATGAGTTTATAGTGTAGACTTCTAAGGATAAACTAGTATAATATGTTAAGAATACAAAACGATGCTGTGATTTACTAACGACATCGACAAGGGCTTAGTGATGGTCTCACTAAACGATATTATGTTGATTGTTCGAATAAAGCCTTCGTTCGCGCGGAATCGACTAAATTAGTTGTTAATTTAATAGTAATAACATCAAAAACCAAGGGATCAATATCAGTTAAGCCAGGCAGTCTAGTTGTAAAGGAATGTTGCCTTATGTTTGAAGTTACATAATGCCAACCCCGAAATTAAAACAACTAATTGCCTGTCCAGACATTTTCTTAACTTTTAAGCTCAGGCTTCCGTATCAATCATAGTGAAGTGATTATAATATAACAGGCCTACGCAAAATTGAGCCTTATTTAATGTTTTATTTAGTAAATAACAAGTTTATTTTCAGTAAGCACTTACGAATATCGTAAGTGAAATCCTGTCTAATTGGTCTAAAATTAAATTTAGCCCACTTTTTAGGCAACTTTTTTCGATATAGGTACTAAGTAAAAGTTAGTAGAACCTACCTAATTGACACATAACTTTATAAGTGTGTCTTAGTTTTGAGTAGAAAAAATAAAAATGGTATCAGATAATTGATGGGGATTTTCATTAATTATTTAAATGAAATGCCGTATAAAATATTATCCTCGCCTCTTTGCCTCGCGGACACGCTTTTATTTTTGAATAAACATTTAGTTTTTTTACTATTATTATACTTTTAATTTTAAGTATTGGCCAATTTATTGTCCCAAAGCAGTGGTAGGGTTAATACTAGGACATGTAAAAGTGCTTTTTAAAAGCCTATTTGCAAAAATAAATGAGATTTATTAGTTAAGTTTTTCGATCGATGTTCTTAAAATACCTGTTCTGTAAATAAATTATTTACGTGTTTAATTAATTTAGGTGTAAATAAAAAACACAGCTGCCATTATGTTGTTACTAACCATTTATTAAGTACGCAAACTTTCTATATAACAGAGACAGTCATTTTAGCTACTTATCCTTTATCTTGATGGTAAACTTATGTATTACAAAGAAAACTACCTTTATTTAGAAACCAAACAATACGTTTTCAGGTACTGAGGTGAAAGTACAATATTAACGAAAATATACCAAATCTCACAACAACAAAGCTATTTTACAAAAGCAAATTGTTACTATTGTAGAAACTATGTATAGTGACAGATTTAGGCCCGTATTAATAATACGATATTATTATTAGACAACAATTTTTTTTATGAAATATGTACTTAGCTGATAGTAAAAAAGAAAGTGTGAATAGAATAATAGCTTTCAGTGAAAGTAAATTAGTTAAAAAGTAAGATATAAGTAGTAGATTTAAAAAAATCTTATTAAAAAATAAGCAAAATATTTTTGAAATCAGTCAAGTTAAAATACTAAACAATTTCTCAAGTATCGTCTTGAGACACATTCATTAATACGGGCCTTTTTATTTTTAAGTATACAGCAGCCAGCCTTTTTAAGGAAATCTTTTTTTTATCTACATACTATAATTTATGGTTATATGTTAAACTTTATAATTGACAAGAAACGTTTATATTTATAGTAAAGACAAAGGATAACAGTAACTGTAAAGAGGCGAGCTTGATTTTCATAATATTATTATTAAATATTGAGGAAATATTGTTTCTAGTTTGAAAACAGATTAATACAACATACGTACGTCTAATATTATTTCTAAATATGTTAATAATTACACGAAGATATTTAAATTCGAAATGATATCATCCTAGAATGACCCTTTTTACGAAAAGCAAGCTCGCTCTATTAATATGGGAACCTCCAGATTTATATTTAGCATGAGCTTAGGGTTGCCACTTCTCACGATTCATAACTATTGTAATTTAAATAACATTTATACCTTTTTATTTCTTAACGTTAGTACAAGTAGTATTAAAGTTACTTGTTTTCTAACCTCTAACTCTAGATTTTATCACGATAAAGATTTACATGTTTAAAAAAGTGATAATTGTTAGAAGTTTCTTAGTTCAAACTAAATAACCACAGATAAACAATCCAAGAAGGTCACTTTATAGACGAATGCGATTTTTAAAAATTCAAGTTTAGATTTTCGAAGATCACAAAAGTTTTAGAAAGTTGTCAATTGTTTTTCTAGTCGGCAGGTGGCAACCGTAAGCGAAACAGTGTGGGTTTACAAGTTGTCGATGATGTATGCGTCGTCGTTATTCTGCTGCCGCCTCATATTGTCCATCTGCAAGAAAAGTTGAGGGTCTAGAAAATCTATTTTTATGGTTTATCCAGCGGTTTTATGGTAAGAAACGAAATGGACGGGCATGTTAAAATCACATTTAAAATTAAAATAGTTACTTAAGGAAAAAAATAAACTGTCTCCGTGGAATCTCTACACACTTGATATTGGAAAATCATCAGTTGATATACTAAAATTGAAAACAAAATTAAAATTATAAACATTTTTGGTCAACCACATAATCAGATGCTTGTGTCAGCCCTATACAAAGTCGCTTTTTGGAAGTTAAACAGTACTTATTATTATTCTGTGGTTAAACCCAATATTTCTCATGTAGAATAAGAAATGAACATTTTTGTGAACTGATTTAAATGTTAGTAGATTTATTTATTTATTTATTGAATTTAAATCTGCAGTTACGTTTCGGAAGGCCTTTAACTAACTACTAAACAAAGTAGAGCTATGTTTACTAGACATGTCCGGGCAAACGACCTACTCCAGACAAGCATATAAATAATTCTCACCCAATGCTTGACGATGTTCCGAAGTTTGAACTTGATGGCGTCCCGGGAGGCGCCATCCTCTCGGTCGTACACACCTGTTGAAATTTTAGTTAGGTTAGTCTAAACTCTTTAAAGTCTCGATAGGCTTTCTTTCAAACAAATGAAGCCAGTCTATGTCTCTGTAGTATTACAAGATATTGAGCAGAATAAAGTAGGTACTTTTAACTAGGTTTTGCCAAGTTTTGCTCCCAAATTAGTCCACATGGATTTCATCTTGACACGCTATAAGATCCGGCCTGCAACCTTATTAACATTTTCAACGCCAATGACGGATCCATGCGTACATCAGGTTGACCGCCAACGACAGATTAGTCAGCCTTAAAAATGACGTCAGTAATAGGCTAATTGAGTATTATGTAACTGGAAAACTGGAATGCAACTCTCCCTCGCACCAACCCGCACACCTCTCCGCGTTCGCCCCGTCCGTACCAGAGAGTCGATGTGACGTCATGGCTACCAGGTACGCAGTTAACACGACCGGGTGGTAATACATAGGTATTTTACAAAATAACCGAGAGTGCCCAGGTGGCGTCTCCTCCTGGCCCATCTGGTGACACCTATGAGTTCTTGGTTCGTCTGCTGTAAAGGACCACTCACCACCAATCACCATCCCTGACAAGTATGATGTCGGCCGCTGTACCTACCCGGAGTGGGGGTAGCCTGGATGGGAGGAGGTCTCTTCCTGGCCGAGCTGGAAGCGGGCTATCAGGTCTTGGTTCCTTGTAACAGAAGGACCACTCACCACCATCCCTGACGGGTATGATGTCGTCTCCCAGGGGAAGCAGGCCACTGTACCCGGAGTGAGGGAAGCCTGGATGTAGGGGCGTCTCATCCTGGCCCAGTTGGTGACGCCTATCAGTTCTTGATTCCTTGTAACAGAGGGACCACTCACCACCATCCCTGACGGGTATGATGTCGTCTCCCAGGGGCAACAGGCCGCTGTACCCGGAATGAGGGTAGCCTGGGTGGGGGGGCGTCTCTTCCTGGCCGAGCTGGAAGCGGGCTATCAGGTCTTGGATCGTCTGCTGTAGAGAACCACTCACCACCATCCCTGACGGGTATAATGTCATCTCCCAGGGGCTGCAGGCCGCTGTATCCATAGTAAGGGTAGCCTGGATGTGGAGGCGTCTCTTCCTGGCCCAGCTGGTGGCCGGCTATCAGGTCTTGGTTCCTTATAACTGAGGGACCACTCACCACCATCTCTGACGGGTATAATGTCGTCTCCCAGGGGCAGCAGGCCGCTGTACCCGGAGTGAGGGTAGCCTGGGTGGGGGGGCGTCTCTTCCTGGCCCAGCTGGTGACGGGCTATCAGGTCTTGGTTCGTCTGCTGCGAATAAAAGGTTGTTAATGTTAAAATGTGGCTGCAGATTTGATTCCTGGAGCAAATTATGACAACGTGATCAACACACGCTTTTTTTACCATCCGAACTATCAGAACATCCTGAACCATGACTTAAAATGATTTGATTCTTTTCCTAATATAATATGTACAAAATCAGATACTTTGATATCATCGATCTTGAAGTTTTGATTGGACTAATGTTATCTACATACATTTTATTTACGAGTATGAACTCTTGTTTTCTCTTTACTTATTGCGCGAGGTGATTTAGGGTAAGTCCAGGATAGATGCCCCACTTTTTGAAACAGCTCTGTAACTCAGTCAGTAAGTTTTTATCAACAATTTGACCTTAGTATCTGTAAACTTTGGTCTTTCGTCTATGATATTACTATAATTATTTTAGTTTAAGTTATACCGATTCTGAGTAAATACTATTTTAATTGACCTCTAAAAAGTGGGATAGACGCCTAATGTGGGGGATAGAAGACTGACTGTATGATTGCTTCAAAGGATAGATGCCTGATGCAGGGATAGATGACTCGTTAATACAGTTTTTGAATTCTAAGGATCAAATGCATTTTGAAATCAAACAAGCCAAGTATTATTATTTAACATTGTTTGTTATTAAATGAATTAAAAATGAAATTTAATATTTTTTATTAAAAATAGTACATAGTACATCCACCCGAAGTCGGGTAAAAAGGTAATTCGATCAGAAGGGCACCCTATTTATTACTTTTCTTAGGTTAGCCGTACTACATTCTTTTTTTCTTCTTACTTGCTACTTGTGACAAAAAGAGCAGGTTAGGATAGATGCCCCTAGGTGCATGGGACATGGCCCTAAGGGCATCTATACCCAAAAAAAAATAGGCAACTATCCTTTTAGCATAGGATAGGTGCCTTTTTTAATAAAAAATATAATAACACTAAAAATCTAATTCAACATAGCTATCCCGTCTAATTTATAAGATAGTCTATCAAATTATATAAAAATCTGCTTCATTTTACAGCTGACAAAAAAATTATCCATTAAAAGATACGTACCAATTTTATTTCGACGCTCGCTAAGGTTTGGCCGCGGAAGATTTTTGCTCTCACTGGCTAAACGAATGCACTCTTTGATGGTTTGCGAGGCGAAAAGTGGTACGGGGAGGTCCCTTTCTATTATACGTACTATAACTTTAGGCTAAGTTGCTTGTAACATAGTGTACTTAAAATCGCGGCACCTATCCCAGTGGGGCATGTATCCTGGAATTACCCTATACAATGTAAGAATGAAAGTTCATCTATATTTCAGCTGGATTTTTCATATTTTCTGGCCTCAATAACTCCTTGATTTTCAATACAAATAAACACCTATCCCCGTAGACTTATATTCTTTTTTATATTTCGCCTGCTGAAGATAAATAATTTGTATTCTATAAAAAATATTTGTGTTTAAATTTTGAGTATATTTGAAGTTTAATGATCCTAAAATCTTGCAAGCTTTTCATGATGTGAGCGAAGATTTTGGTGTGCTACGTATTAACCACGATGACGATTTAGAATGTGGGAGATAAACCCTTGACATACGTTATCCAAATGCAATAGATACGGGATACGTGTTAACATAGGATTTACCTAACCGTAAAAGTTACATAATATGAACTGTAAACTCAACGTTTCCCTTTTTTTGTAACCAAGAAGGTTTAAAGTAAGCCACCCAATATGCAGATGCGTTGTCGTCGTTTAGCTAATCTTGTAGACTAGACGTGTGCCTCATGCAAATGTCGAATCAACAGTCGCTAGATTTAATTAGGGCAGGTAAGACCTTTGTTAAGTATTTAGAGACTGGTGTGAGAGCGTTGCTATTTGTTGAGGTCCTTGCTAACGAGAGTTTTGGTAAGACAGCAGTAGATTTCAATATTATTAATTGTGTATGAACTAGGGTTGCCAACCGTACTATAATATATAGTATTGTACTATATTTCGGGTCTGCGTACTATATACTGTTGAAAAAATATATAGTACGCAAAAATACTATATTTTCAACACCGACAAATCTAACAAACAAATCCTTCAATTAAAAAAAATAAGAACGCGCCTTTAAAGTAACTTTTAACTGTTAAGATGGCTAAGTCATATAACCTATTGCGCACGTACCATTTCCTTTGATGAGGTCCGTGAACATACCCGATAGGCGATAGCGTGTATCCGAACGCTTGCGTAACGAACTTCATCATTTCAGCCATAGGACGTCCACTGCTGAACATAGGCCTCCCCCAATGCTTTCCATGTTGATCGATTGGTAGCGGCCTGCGTCCAGCGCTTCCCTGCTACCTTTACGATGTCGTCGGTCCACCTTGTAGGTGGACGTCCCACGCTGCGTTTTCCGGTACGCGGCCTCCATTCCAGAACCTTTCCGCCCCATCGCACGTAACGAACTGGTCAATGTCAAATTGACAAAGTAAATTTTATCGTCGTCAAACGATATTTTGGTCTGCTTTTTTATCGGCAGAATCGTTTTCAACTAGATGTTGTTATTTCTTTTGAAAAGTTGAAATCTTATACAGGGTGTTAGGTAAATGGGTATATGAGCCGACACTAGCCCATGTTAACATGGGCATATAAATGGTATGGTGAAGTCAGAAAATTGACATCTTCATTTTAATTGTTTTTATTTTCATACAAATCGGAATTTATAAATTTATTTTGTATGAAAATTAAAAAAATTTAAATGGTGATATGAAATTTCTGACTTCACCATACCATTTATATGCCCATGTTAACATGGGCTAGTGTCGGCTCATATACCCATTTACCTAATATCCTGTATAAATTAGGTATGGAAAGTGGTAGTGATAACGAAAGTGCGTCAAATTCTATTGCGCCGCTAACGCCGACTAAAAAACGAAAAATACCAAAAAGACTCCAAATAAAATAAACCGGAGTGGGAAAGAGAGTATGACTGGATTACTGAAGATCCCCAAAATATACAGTGTGAGTCACGATAAAGTGCACCTATGAAAATATGTGAAACTAGACCTATTTTTTTCGAGAAAAAAAGGTAAAAAAATTTTTGAGATTTAAAAAAAAAAATTAATAAAAACAATTTCTTCCAATTACTTCTCGTAAAGAAAACGTAATAACTTTTAAACTAAGAGGTATATCCTGATAAAATAAAAACAATAATAATGCTAAATAATAGGCGATACTAATAAAATACCCAGAAAATGCCAACAAATAATAAAAAAATATACATTATGAAAAATATCTGCTTCTAAATTCGTGTTTTTTTGGTTATTTGATCAATTTCTCCAAAAAAGCCCCTATAACAGGTGGTTTTTATTGCTTTGTATTATTCTCTATCGTATTAGTTACTTTTGTAAAACTAAAAATTGCATGTCTCTATCCTTATCACAACATATTATGTCAATTTTAAAATCGGCGCTAGAACAACGTAAAAAAGATATTTTTTTTGGTTACAAAACAAAAAAAATGTTGCAATCATTAGAAGCAAAATCTCCCCCACAGAAAGTTATGGAATTCAAAAGATTTTTTTGCTATTTCTTGATAAATGTTTAGACTATCTTAATAATAGATTAATCTTAATAAATTAAATATAAAAAAGGAGGTTTCATTTAATGACTGTGAGACAATATTAGAAGTTCTAAATTTACAAGAAAAATTGAGTATCAAAATGGACGACCTATACTCTGAAATAACGATATTGAATGAAATCTTTGCTAAATTAAAAGACTGTAGTGACTTTACTGACAAAACTACAGGCCAAAAATGACAGCATGTTTTAAAAAATACTGAAAATGACTTACCAAATTTATTTGAAGTTATTTCATTCCTGCTCTCTATTCCCGCCACTTCGGCATTTACAGAAAGGATATTTTCGGTTATGAATTCGAAGTGGCGAGAAGAAAGAAACAGAAGTAGTGTATCATTAATAAAAAAATGAGCTTTTGATTTATCTAAATATACAGTGTGAGTCACGTTAAAGTGTACATATGAAAACAGATGAAACTAGACCTATTTTTATCGACAAAAAAGAGGTCAAAAAATTTTTGAGATTTTTTTTAAATTTTTTATAGAATTTTTTTTCTTCCAATTACTTATTGTGAAGAAAACGTAATAACTTTTAAACTAAGCGGTATATCCTGATAAAATAAAAACAATAATAATGCTAAATAACAGGCGATACTAAAAAAATACATAAAATACACAAAAAATGACAACAAATAATAAAAAATGATACTTTTCGAAAAAAATCTGCTTTAAAATTCGTGTTTTTTTGGTTATTTGATAAATTTCTCCAAAAAATGCCCCTATAACAGGTGGTTTTTATTACTTTTTATTATTCTCTATCGTATTATCTTTGTAAAACCAAAAATCGCATGTCTCTATCCCTATCACAACATTAGCTATGAACCGTGTTTTGTTTCTCTATTTTTTGTCCACTGTTTCAAATAAAATGTCACTAAAATACTTTATAAAAAATTTGTAATGAAAAATATACAATGGTAGGTGATTTGTCTTTAGGTAGGTACTCGCATTAAAATGATCTTTGCAATAATATCGACTGTTTTTTGTAGATAACGTTTTCTCCCTTTTCGTTAACTTACACCATTTATGTATTTCTCAACTTTTCTTAGCTTTAAAAGTGTTTTTCTGGGGCACTAACCATTGTATTAGTATAAAAGGGTTATTATACAATATCTGCATGGTATTTTTTTCGCCATAATTCTATAAAACTCGAAATGATTGCACGAGTCTATGAGCGCGCGAAGGAGCAATGCCATCCCGGCGGAGGTAACGGGCGGTGTGACGTCACGCGCTAAACGGTCAAGTGCGAGTTGATTTTTAAAACATCCAACTTTGAATGCCCATAGAAAATTCAGTTTTTGAGATATCGAAAAAATTCTTTTAAAAATATTTTTAATATTTTATGTTTGATCTTTTTACATTATAAAATAATTACACTCATCTTCCTCATTGCCTAAAACAAATAAAAATAATAAAAATTAAATTATATTTTTTCGCACGATTTGCTCATGCATAGACCTACTGTACCTTATACGGTACACCTATTTTAGACTGGAATAAACCGTATAAAAATAATCTCAATAATATTTTTTTTGTAGTCATGATATCTATTGTACTCTATTTTTAAAATAAAATTGATAAATAACATAATTTACACTGAATAATAAGAAATTATACCTTCTTAAATACATTGTAAATATTTTTTTTTGTATTCTGTCGAGGAATTTCATAAATATTTCCGAAACCACTTGTTAAAACATATTTTTTAATATTTTTATGTAAAATAATCACTTTAAGCTTACTATCACAATCATTTTTACAAATTAATAACAGTTTGGTACTTCGAAATATTTTCAAAAAGATACCGTACCACATAGGGTACGGTAGGGCTAAATGGGTTAAGTTCACACAAGTGATCTGCTGAGTTTTCTCAATGTGCAAATGGTTATTTAGTGTTGTTGAAAACTTTGCGAAAAGACGCTTTTGGTGTATAATATTATGTGTGTTCATAAATAAAGTAAAATTATTAAATTCAAAAGTTTTTGTTTACTAATTTGCATTTCCATGTGCAATGTAGAATTGTAGAACTGTCAGTTTTAGAAAAAAACTTTTAATAACATTTATTCATCGAAATAATGTAACCTATCGACCAGTGATTTAAAAAAATAGAAATTGTGAAAAATAGATCGCTATGTCCAAAAATCACATTTTCAATTCATCCATACGCTCATACGATTCGATGGAATGCGGAGTCGCGGTTGGGGTGAGTGTAACTCTTGGACGAATAATCCATGCTGGACACCAGCGGCAGCTCATTCCGATGATTTATCGGGATCGGGACACCGAAGTATTCGAAGTATTCGCATTCGACGGAATTTTGACATTTCAGAAGTGTTGTCAACACTGAAACATTCCCACTAAGAATGGAGAGCATTTTCATAAATTAAAAAATAATCCTTTCTTGAATTTAAGGTTTCACTTGAAAAACTAAGGCTTAAAAATGTACCGATCATTTCAAAATGGTTATTTGAATTTTTATTATCATACTTTTGAAGTTACAAAAAAAATTGGGAAAATATTTTCAATTACTGGTCTCCCTGGCCAATAATCCATGGGTNGCGCGCCCGGAGAGGCTTAGTTCAAACGATCATTGCAAACGTTGTGATAGGGATAGAGACATGCGATTTTTGGTTTTACGAAGGTAATACGATAGATAATAATACAAAGTAATAAAAACTACCTGTTATAGGGGCATTTTTTGGAGAAATTTATCAAATAACCAAAAAAACACAAATTTTAAAGCAGATTTTTTTTCAAAAAGTATCATTTTTTATTATTTTTTGGCCTTTTTTGTGTATTTTATGTATTTTTTTAGTATTGCCTGTTATTTAGCATTATTACTGTTTTTATTTTATCAGGATATACCGCTTAGTTTAAAAGTTATTAAGTTTTCTTTACAATAAGTAATTGGAAGAAAAAAAATTCTATAAAAAATTAAAAAAAAATCTCAAAAATTTTTTGACCTCTTTTTTATCGATAAAAATAGGTCTAGTTTCATTTATTTTCATATGTACACTTTAACGTGACTCACACTGTATAAAAGGAGAAACTGACTGACTGACTGACAGATCAACGCACAGCCTAAACGGCTAAACGTAGGCACTAGAAATTTGGAAGGGACGCAGCTTAGGTACCGTAGAGGTGCACTAAGAAAGGAATTCCCGAAATTCCCACGGGAACGGGAATTAGCGGGAAAAACGGGATTCACGCGTACGAAGTCGCGGGCGGCCGCTAGTATTAATTTAAAAATTTAATGTGACAAAGCATATGATACTTTTATTTTAAACAAAAAACTGTTACACAGCGCAAGAACTGCAAAAAAATATAGTTTTTATAAAAATAAATAATTAAAAAATGTATATTTGTCTATTTTTTTGTTTTTCCCATAAAATACTATATTTTTTTAATGTACTATATTTTTTTCCACCTTATTTTGGAAAATACTATATTTCGCTGATGAAATGTTGGCAACCCTAGTGTGTACCTATGTGTCTTTAGATATTTGCACACAGGTCGTCAATCGATACAAAGACTTCTAAATAGGTAACTTCTTGTCAGGCTTTACAGTGCTGCTGTGTATGACCGAAAGTTGTCATTCTTTACATTTTGATTACATATTTTTTGAACTTAATACAAATTTAATTCTGATGAGCCACTTAATTTTTAGTAGATACAACAAAGTCTATGGCTTTGACGCTAGCCAAAAAGATGGTGTCTTTTTCAAGACTGCTACTTAAACCAACCCAGAAGTTTACTATCTCAATTTAGAGCTTCTGCTTGCTAACTGAAACCTAAAACTTTCCAAACCTAAATAACTTCAAAGTTCGTATCGTATCGTTTCAGCCGAAAGACGTCCACTACTGGACAAAGGCCTTCCCCAAGGATTTCCACGAAGACCAGTCCTACGCCGCTCACATCCAGGCACCTCCCGCGACCTTCACCAGATCATCGGTCCAATTTGCAATAACTTCAAAGTTAATTTAACTTAAACTTACGTCAATGGCGGCAATGTCAGACCTCTTGCCGTGCCCTCCGAAGCAGGAGTGACCGAATGCTGAACATCCTCCTGTTGACAAAAACATTTGTGTCAAAACTTCATACAGTTCATTCCTGTAAAAGAATTTTGTTTAGACTACGTAAGCTCTTAAGTTTTTACATTTATGACAATAAATTATTACCTAAACGCTCATTCAATGTAAAAATGACAAAAAACGAACGTAATTTTTTTATTGTTTTATTATCTCGGTGGCCAGTACTTGTATCTACAGAAAAAAAGATTTTAAAACAATAAGGATAATAACCGATCTTTTTACGTCAAACTTTTTCAACATTGCCAGGCAATTTCATCAGAAAATTGGGTCTGGCCACAATTTTCACTAATTAGCATTATCGCGGGAAATCTTTCGTACATTTTCCGGAATTTTCTCGATTCAAATTCTTAATTCTAAATAACTATAGCCGGAGCCAACTGAATTGAAATCAAGCAAACAAGCGGGTCCACGCTAAAGTCTGGGTAAACAACTAGTTCATTCCGATTGCCTAGGTAGAAATGCTGCAGTATTTTAGATTTTTAGACCAATTTGCGTCTCGGGAATGTTTGGACTTTGCTTTTAAAAATAAAGCTAATTGGGTCGTTTTCGTTAGGTGTTATTCCGGTTATATTTTAATCCGTTAATTCAAGTGTAATAGGGTGTTTTTATGAATATGAGTTTACGTGGGATATTTTAAACTTGAATCAACCTCATTTCCCGGTAAGAAATACGATACCGTTTTTCAGCGGGCACGCTAAGCCGTATCGGTCGTTCGATACTGTTTGTTATTTTTTAAAGAATTAATTAATGTCCCTTTATTTCTTCCGTCATTCATCCATATTCCAATATGAATTACGTGTACCATATTCGACAGACAGACGACCGATTCTTGAATTAACATTGCTACAAAAACATTTTTCCTCCGTCAAATAAACATAGAATCGAAATGTGGGCCTAAGGCGCCTCCATTGACATACGACACAACTCGATTGTTCCCTTTCAAAGCAACCATTGTAATATTCAGTTTATTTGTCATTCAAATCAAAAATTGATTTCTTTGATTCGTCATACGTGTGTAACAGATACCTTTTTGTGTCATGCGCCTTGACATTTCCGAGTACAACAATGAATGCTGATTAATTAACAGCCATTCAATTATACTTTGGGTTATTATGTTAAATGATTACATCCTAATTTTTCTTTTAAAATTCGTTACTTGCGTTTGTCATATTTAAAATTACTTAAATTGCTCAGTATAAATAATAAAATATGTTACTCTTTATTACACATTGCATCTACAAACATTGTAATTACAAAAATGGTAATTTTTCAAATTGCAATCTACTTTTTTAATCCTGGCCTTCAACGCCGATATTTTAGAACACATTTTTGCGACCTCTGCCGTTCATTATATTCTCTATCCACGTCCAAATTCAAATTTGTGTTCGAATCCGAATTTGCCACAGATTATCGTCATAACAGTTCTATTTTTAAAGATTCGAACATTCGAACGCTGATTAATCTGTGGAGAATCGACAACCTCTTTGGTATCAGTTAGAGATGCAAATTCGGCGCGCGTGCCGTCCCGAGCAAAAAGGTTGCAACTTGCAATGCTCTCAGTTATCACAAAAGAGGTTTCAGACACAGACTAACAAGATTACTAACTGGGGACGATAATTGCGTACATTCTGTACGATGTTTTTAAACAAGCGTGTTAGGGAGATGAGTAAATTACCTACCAAGTTTAGTTTTGTTTTTATTTAAGGTTGATTTTGTTTAGAATAAAGTTTTTTAAAGAAAAGTATCATGATGCTCACTATAACCTTTTGCTACTAAAGAATCATCTCTTTCATACCTCTTGTACTTCGATACGCAACGGATTAAGATCAAAGCAGAAAAATAGGCTTTGTTGCATCGATGACGTGTATGATCCAAAAAAAGTAAAATGTCACTTATTCCCGCGCCAAAAAAATGTTGACAGCTGTCAGAATATCGTTCCCGTTCACCAATCTTTCAGGTGGGCTTCATTCATTCGGATAAAGGCCAAAGGTTACACAACACACCACGTAACGCCCCCGGCGTTTGCAGTGACACGCATGTTGCATCTGGCGATAGGATTAGTTCTAACGAACCTGCCGTGATGTAATGGTCTAAGGCATAAGCTTGCTGAAGCTATAGTAAGCTGATCATCCGTCATGGATAATGATCGTTTTTAAGGATGATTATGTCCTCTCGTGATTCATTAGTATGTCAATAATGTCATGACCATGATTATTTGACTATTTAGTGCAGTCCTGTGGGTCTAGACATAATGCACTTTTTGATCGAATCCGTCAAAACTCCATACAAAAAAAAAGCTTTTCGACCACTTTTCGACTGGTTTACGATTATAATGTGCACTTTGTCTAGACCCACTGTTGTCCCCCCTGGCTAGTTAGTCTGGCGTACTTCAAACGATTATTTCGTGCGAAGTTTTCAATCAACATTTTTAGTAACGACAATCAAAATTTTTAAGCTTGTTATTACATCTTCAACTAATTGGTTGAATACCAATAGTTGTTAGAGCAATTACAGGTCGAAACTTTTCTTGACTTATTTCAATAGTTGTATGACCATGAGCGTCAGTTCAGTCTGGCCTAAAACAAGTAGTAAAGCTTAGGGATTAGGACACAGTTTTTTTCTTCTTTGGCTCTAGGATACGGTTCTATACGGCCTACTACGGTAACTTGAGTTTGAATTGACTTTTGGTCGTAATTTCGTAGTGTTTTAGACCTCCTTGTTTGCTCCAACCACGCATTAGGGTTGGCGCTAACTTGGTCGTTGAGGCTGCTTGCATAACTCGTTACACGACCTGGCCTGTGTTTACTCGCACTAACAAATACAATGGCGAAACCACTGTTGGGTTAGGTTATTGTGTGCGTTGCTGCTTGAATCAAGTCTAGGTACATCGAGAGGCGGTTAACTAAGACCACCTGGATTGTGCTGCTCCGACTGGCTTATTTTGTACCAGTTATAGTTTACTTCCTACTTGACATATTAAGAAGTATTTATGTGCATATAACAGTTTCTGCCTTTATAGTGATGGAAGAGGCACTTAGTCTATATATATAAAAGAAAGTCGTGTTAGTTACTCCACTTATAACTCAAGAACGGCTGAACCGATTTAGCTGAAAATTGTCAGGGAGATAGTTTAGAGCCAGGAGAAGGACATAGGATACTTTTTATCCCGTTCGAAATAAAAAAAAGTCTGCTTATTTATTGCCATTAAGGCGGAACAAAGTTCGCCGGGTCAGCTAGTTTATAAATAAAATTACGTGCATCACTTCACTTACATCACAACTTTTAAATAACCTTTTCTCTTCGGGAGGCACCTATTGATGCCTAGTCAAAAGTCACTTCTCAATACGGATGACATCTATTGTTGTTTTGGCAAAGCCAATACTCAATCACGATTTGAAATGTAAAATACGAATGTAATTATGAAACTTTCAAATGAATGAAACTACCGTAAGTCTAATACTTTTTAAAATATCTTGATGTAAAGTGGAGCAAACAGACACAGCGTAAAAATACCCCGTATTGAGAGGCGCACTTTGGTTTCCAATAGCCCGTAGGGAAAAATAGCTCTTAAGCCCAACCACGGCTATTTGCATAACTTAGTATTCTATGAATTTAATCAAGTTTATCCGACTCCAAAAAATCTATCACCAGTAAAAACCAAGTAACTACATCTCTCAATCTCTAATATAGTAGTTCCTTTAATATCGTTTATACTAACTAACCCATTTAAAACAAAACCACCTGCATTTTCTCTCCCCTCATGAAACAATTAACTCCTTTTTGGTTGCAGTAATAATGTTACCATATTCAGTGCAAAGAAACCGCAACAAAATGTCGCCGACGCGAATTCGCAGCCACAAAGGGGGTCATAAGCTTCGTTTTTCCCGCTTAATTGAGAAACGTCACTTACAGCGTTACTACGGGAACCGGCAAGAGAACAAAACACAAACTTCATTCGTTTTGAATTTAGAACTCTACTTTTTTAAATGTTTGTTGCATGCTATGTTTTTCTCGTTTTTTCAGCCTTGGGTTTAGACAAATGGAACAATAAGCTGCACTGTTTTAGAGCTATAAATGTTTACTACTTAAAATCTATCAAGTAGGTCAGTACTTAAATAGTTTATGTAGTTACTGATATTTTAAGAAATAAATATATCGGAGAACTTTATGATTCAATTATATTTTAAATTGGTAAGATACTGAAAAGCAGTTTACAGTAAAATTTATTCGTATCTAGGCAAGTAACATAATTTCAATCCACTGTTTGATTTTGACAATTCTCGCACTTAATAAAAACAACCCCAACTAAATTATTTGTCTAGTTTAACTATTGTTGTTATAATTTCCAATTATCACGTGCATGTGGACTATTTTAAACTAAACATAGCTTACCTAACGTATAACTAGCTTTTCTTTTCTTATTTTAAAAACGAAATTTTCCTAACCCTTTACATAATTATTAAGTTAACGTCTCACTCCATGTTCATTTTCACAAATCAAAACAAATGAAGGTGAAACCGCCAAAAACTTATTTAAAATCATCCCCAAGTGTCCCTTTACCTTTTAACTGCAAAATGAACCTTAATCACTTGCTGAGAAGTGTCAAAATGTTGTAATTTAAAAGTAAAAGTGCCGGACTTATTGCAATAAACGTTAAAATTAACGTTAATGGACATACACGGTCTCCTTTGAGAATTACACGATATGAAGTTCAAAACTTTTTACCAAAATGACAGTTTTAAAGGATAATCTTGTAAACTCTTTATACCTACATTCCAATTATTGATATTATAGCCAAACATGCCTAAATGAGTTACTGAAATATGTCAGTTAATTAATTTTATTGATAAATTAAGTAATTTTCAACCCATTTTAATTATAGAGGGGGACTTTCACCATTATAATTATAGAAATAACCTTACATGGGTGTCACCAATAAAGATAATAATCATTATTTTGTTCAAACCTACGTCTC